TATGTTTTTTCCCAATAAAATAAAAAAAAGACAAAGATTCTCACCACTGGGCCAATTGGCAGCACCATGATAGATGGGGAAGAGATTAAAGTTGTTAACAATTACAGCTTGCTTAGCACCACAATCAATACTCTTTGGCACCAACAGTCAGGAAATCAAAAGAAGAATTGCACTGGGAAAGTCTGCTGTTTGGGACCTCTCTATAGAGTAGTAAAAAGCAACAATGTCAGTGTAGAGACTAAGGTGTGCTTTATCTAGGCCATGATCTTTGAAATGACTTGGTATGCATCAGAGAGCTGGACAATGACAAAGAATGACAGAAGAATCAATGCTTTTGAGTTGTGGTGCTAGAGACGTCTTGAACATACTATGGACCACCAAGAAAAAAACAGGTCTGTCTTGGAAAGGGTGAAACCAAGTTTCTCCTTGAAGGATGGGATTTTGAAACTACATCTTACATACTTTGGGCACATTGCCAGGAGGGATTAGTCCTTGGAGAAGGACATCACGCTTGGAAGGGTAGAGGGACAACACAGGAGAGGAAGGCCCGGGATGAAAAGGACTGGCACAGTAACTGGGGCAATGGGGGTAGGTGTGTTGGAATCAGTGAGACTGGTTCAGGACAGGGCAGGGTTCAGAGTTGCTGCACACAGGGTCACAGGTGACTAGATGGCACATAACAACAATAATAACCAAGTACATTATGCTGAGTGAAATAAGCTAATTACAAAAGTACGAGCCTACTATTATAAAAAGTTATTTTTTCTTTTTTAGGGGATAGCATGCACCCAGCCCCCTACTACCTCAAATTATGCAGTCCAATTTTCCACATTTGGGGAAATCGCAGCACATCCAGAGTTAAATGGACAAGCCTGACCCTGGGAAAACCACTTCATGACCACGGTGCTTCCTCTGCCAATGTAAAAAAATTAAATGTCTATACACAGAAATATTTATTTATGGTTACCAAAGATGGAGGGAGGGAAAAACTTAAGTAGACACACACTAAGTAAAGGGGAAAACCACATAAAACAAAGGGGTGACAAAGGCATCACTAAGAAGGAGGCATGGAGAGGTGCCAAGAGTCAACAGTGAAGGTCCAAGCTGTTACACGCAGATAACCCTGCATCACTGATCCTCAAACACTAGTCTACAAGGGGACACAGAGGCAGACAGGCAAGACAGAGGAGTATGGAGAAGTGAAGGGGCCAGCACCCAGGGCCATCCACAGGCCTGGCAGATGATCTTTCTACATGAGCATCTGTATCTGCTGCAAATACACCCACATCCATACTAAACCCAGCAGGGAACAAAGTTACAGAAACTTCTCAAACATCTTGAGATGAATTTCTAGTCATGGGGCCTCAGGGGGAGATTAACATCAACTGACATTACAGAGCCCACAATGACAGCTTTCTACATTCTACTTTGGTGATTACTGACCATAATCTCAAACAAGCCTGGGAACAGTCAACAGGTGCCAACTATTTAGTCTCTTCTTTTTCAAAGCAGAGTGAAGAAATGCAAAGCAGCGTGAAAGCAGTTGGCCCATCCTCCTAAAGGCCTTCTCCAGCTCCAGTCCCTCAACCCTGAGACCACAACTAAATGGGGTCTGGCTAGCATTGCGGACAGCTCCGAAAGGGATCACATCAGAGGGACCTGAACCCACTGAGAAAAACGTGAAACGTAACTCAAAATCATAAAAATGGCCAGGCTGATAATACGGGCAGAAACCTCAAAACTATTCTCCTTAAACACCTGAACTCACCCCTGTGGCTCAACCTTCAGCCAAACATTAGACCAGCCTATAAAGTGAACAATAATAAAGTGACATCAGTCACTCCGACAATCAACCACATTCGCCCAGGAATAAAGCTAAGGCAGGAATGGAGAGGACAGAGGGTGAAGAGAAGACCCACAGGGAAGGCGTGGGGAGAGTGCTGTTACAACATGGGGAACGAAAGCCATAAAAGGAAGTAAAACCAAATGTGTGTGAATGGCTGAATTGAAAGACATATTTATTTGCTCTGTAAACTTTCACCAAAGTCACAAAAGTGAAAAAAAAAAAAAAAAAA